ATCATTACAGCTTTGCTTATTTGGTTCAGCTGAACGATGGCAGCTACCTGTGTGGGGTGGAAAGCACTTCTAAAATTGTAAAACTCTTGAAACCAAACTATCATGGATCGTGTTTAGCATAATAAAGGCAGCTAGAACTAATTCGTGTCAGGAACTGATCGTGGCACTAAAGGTACTTCACATAAGACTTGATGTTAAAGATGGCGTAATGCTATAAAAGGCGGTAACCCGCTTTTCTCTGCGCATAGTCTGCCTCTTTTAACATAGAGCGCTGGAGTTGTTTTATTTCTACCATTTTTTGCCTCTTGATGGAGATCCGAAGGTCACTGGCGCTGGTATTAAGAGTTACAGCGACTTCAATTTGAAACGAAATGGCAAATGAACTGACCTTATGCGCAGTCGTAAGGATGGGATGCCAAATTTTTAAAAATATTGCATTCCTATTAAATAACTCTTACCCAGTGTTGTCACGAAGCAATTCTTTCGACATGATTTGCGTGCATGTTATTCGACTTAATAGACATTGGAAAATTTTCAGAAGACGAGTGTACTTTAAAAATCGTTACAGTGGATGTGTGGTTCTGAATAAAACTCGCTAGTGTCATGATGGCCGTCACATCCTTTGACTGAAGCGACAAATGCCAAAATCGGAATAGGATGGCTGTCGCATAAATCTCCTTATCGCCCTCTACTTTTGTCTCCTCTTGCCTTACTTCCTCGACCAGCTTTCTGTTGTTGTAACGGTTTCGATCGTGCATGGCAATGGTTGTATCGTTTGGACGTTTGTCATTGACAACGTCTCGGGTGCAATAATCTGCCAAAATAAACAGTAGTGCCAATAACTGCGCCACTTGGATGACCAGCATAATCTTTTCCGGTCATTTCAAATTTCTGAATACATATGGAAGAATCACGTTTCACCTATTGCTGCGTGGAGACGTCGCGTTACTGCCTGCAGTCGATAAGCCAAGAATTTTGTAACCATATCTATTTTCATAATGACAAACATCATCTTCATCATCATCTTCCATCGCCGCTTCTCCTTTCGGGTCGCGGAGGCAGACACGTCAGACAGTGCTTCCAA